AGCCCCCTGATGAATATTTTTGTCTACTTCGACCAGAGTGAGATCGCCGACGGCTTTCTTGGTATCCCTGCTTTCCTTTCCTCGCTTTGATTTATTTCCTAGTGTGATTTGAGGCAACAGCACTCCGCCGGCCGCATCCGCTCAAAACAACCTTCGTTCTCACCCGCGCACACATCCCATTTAATTTAGACATAGCGTCAACAAAAGAGGGCAATCGCCATTAATAAATTATCCTATAACCTATTACATGAACTCCAAAAGCTAACTATGGAGGCTATAAAGGCTTGAAATCACATGCACTGCTTCTATCTAAAATACACAACCATGTAGCGCAGCAGTTAAAGAAGCACATGTGGTCCTTGGTTCGATCAATCTGTGAAAATGAAGCTCTCCATCCCACCGAGGTCGGAAAATTGGTATCAGCCTAGTATGAGAGGATAAAAACGTGGGCTTGTTAAACTGATTGGACCTTCACTACCTGCACCAATTATTCACTCCGTCACTTTTATGATGCTACAAATGGAGCAGCATCATTAACTCATGGCGCATACACGGGAAATTAATCAATGTAAAACGTTTTATCCTTAGTCTTTATGCTCTAACTATTCTTCAAAGTGGGCACCTGTAAAGCCTCTAGTCGACCCTTAATAGTGAGCCCTGTGGCATAAAACACAGAAAGCGCGTGTTTGGCATTGGCTGGAGGTGCCCTGCAACACACGTGGTTGTTGGTTCGATCTCGTGCTTCGAGATCACAAAGCTTTCCAACCCTCCATAGTCGACAGAAAGGTACAAAACTTATAAGAGAGGGTTGCTGCAGTGGCTGGATACATCTGTGGATCGGTGCTATACCGCAAATCATTTTGGGGCAAGGTACACGTTCAATCACCTCTAACAATGCTTGCTGAAGTCGAACGTTCTTAAAGGGGTTAGGCAATGAGCAATGCCGAACGCTTTATCCTTTAACTCCCAAGTCCGAAGTTCTATTAACCTCGGCATTGATTGAATAATTCTTTCCACTTCTGTTCAGCAAACACGAGGTGCTATTTTATTTCTTTATTTACGTACAAGCTGACGTTTCGGCGGATTTCGCCTTCCTCAGAGCCTGGAAAGGTCCTCAATCAAGGTCAAATGTAAATAAAGAAATAAAATAGCACCTCGTGTTTGCTGAACAGAAGTAGAAAGCTTTATCCTTTGTCCTTATTATAAAAACACAGTGTTCACCACACTCTTCTTAAGAAGCCGTTTACTCTTTTCCTTTCGGATTTTCCATGAGAATTGACAGAGGTATATACTCTTTCATGAAAGGGAAATGTGGCTTTGATTTGTAAGAAACAATCGAGTCAACATATTGCAATGGTATTTAGCCGAATCGATGTGCAGGATGTAATAGGTACAGATGCAAGTATGCACCCTGCTAGTATGTACAACCATAATTCTATAGAGGAGGGCTATGTCAATCCGGTGGGAATTCATTAGACTGCATTACATGATGAAACTGGATGCGGACGAAACGCCGTTTAGACCAATCGAGGTTTTCATTTTGAACAGTAATTAAAGGAACACCCATGGGGAATTCCTTTGGTCCGGAGGCAAACGAAATCTCATTGTACTGTTGTGTTTTTGTGTTAATGTTAAGCCTTTTTAAAAGGGACCTCATTTCATTCAGGATAAATTGAAACTAAAAACGCTAATTAAACGGTGATTTAATCAGTCATTTTACTTGTTTACCTAGGAAGTAAAATGGATGAAAAAAATGAACGGAAGATTGAAGGTTAAGGCGGAGGCCATAGAAACAGTGGCGAGACAAATCTCTAGTTCCACGGCAGGTTTCCATTTTTCATTTCTTTTTTATTCACATGACCCAGTGACGCATACGATGCGAATCTTAGCACTTCAATTCGTACTGTCATCCGTCTTCCCTCCTTTATAGATCAGAAAGAGCCCTTTACAAACAGACTGACAGCAATTCTCTGACTCCCGAGGGTTGAAGAGCTTGTTTTTCATTGACCGGAACTGAATCAGTGATCTTTCGTGCATCACTGAATGTCTCTAGGCAGACTGCATCCAGAACCTACAGCAACCGTTAAGGCCGACAAGTAAACATCATATTAACTATAAGTCGAAGTTCACAAATCAAATTTAAAGTACATAATATGTATGGGATAGATAGCACAGTGGTAGTGATATCCGTCATCACGAGCATGGTGCTAGTTCGGTTTTCCAATTGGCAACGCTCCAGCCATGCTATATTAGGACTCCGGTGAGAATCGATTCGACCTACGTTACGAAATACTTAACGTTACGAAAAAAATTAAGTGATTATGGTCTAGTTAAGTTATGCATAAATTTTCCACATAAATACCCTTTATTTATTTTATTTTATTTGACCCGTCTTCACGTCTGCTGTGCGGAACCCGGCACTTCAATTCGTTTTCTCATATCCATTGTCCACAAAGATCTCCCAATTTTACGTGTGGTTTCGGTTGCTGTTTGAGGATTTTCATTTCATCTTGAACGTAGGTCGAATCGATTCTCACCGGAGTCCTAATATAGCATGGATGGAGCGTTGCCAATTGGAAAACCGAACTAGCACCATGCTCGTGATGACGGATATCACTACCACTGTGCTATCTACCCCATACATATTATGTACTTTAAATTTGATTTGTGAACTTCGACTTATAGTTAATATCGATTTCTCTAGGTAGTCACTCATTTATTCCCCATAACACTTCTTTATTGAGCGTAGTTCGCTTAAAAATCAATGAGATCTCATTTCAAATACTGACGCCCCTTTTTTAATAAAATATTATGCTCGTAGAAGCGTATTACATACTTTAATACAAATGCTTTTTCCTATTTCCAAGACCTACTTTCTATCAACACCGGCATTGAGCAGCTATTTCACTGCATCCTTAGTGAGCAAACAAGACGTTGTTACTTTATTCTTTATTTACTAAAAGCCGACGTTCCGGCTATACGCACGAGGTCACTGGTTTGGCTACGTCGCTGACCAACTCAATTCCGTTCCATATTCATATCAAAATTGCTTGGAAAAACCTCACTGCTCTCCGGTACATAGGAGTATGGTTGCCTATGAGAAGAACTAGGAATGCACTGGCTCACCCCGCCCCTACACACCCTCTACGATTCCAGAAAGAATTCACTCCACCAGAATTCAACGCTGCTACGCTGCTATTGAAAACGACAGAATCTTCAAGCTATGGTCGAATGAACAGGTACAATCCGAGGACCTTCGCTGATGACATTTGCGAGATGACGAATCGAAGGCAAAAAGTGCCAGCATCTGCACTGTACTCGATACAGGGTCACAGCAAAAATGCCATTGAAACAGTATACCATGCGAAGATTTCCAATGGGACAGCCGACGACCGTAAAACATTGATTTCGTACACGCTTTTTTAAAGTGAACAATATCTGGAACGATCTTTTTACAATTGAATGGCGTTTATTGGAGCAGATATTCATGTAAAATTATTGCATCTGCTCTAAAAAACGATCTATTCCTTCATCGAACGGAACAATTCAGCACGCGCCCGCCACTTCAGACGTATCCGGTCAGTCAATATATCGATCTGGCCAGTGGTTGCTATTGATCGTCGATAAATCGGTATTTCAATCGACCACTGTCAAGGAATATAGTGTTTGTCGGCCGTCTTCCTCTATTATGCTGGCAGTGCAATTGTAAACGCGCCAAGAAATTAATGTATAAATTGATTGGCTTACTTCCGAACGGCGACCGATTGCTTTTAATGACCTAAATACTATTTATTTCACATTCCTTTTAAATATTTGTCCCATTTGTGATTAGTTGGAAGCATCACAGCCGTCAAATACAGGACAACAATCATCCGATGATGAGGAGGCGGACAACTTCGTATAGATGGCGAAAGCGTAAATAACTTAAGTTTCAATTAAACCTTAAAAGGAAACAGCTGAAGACGCTAAAAAACAGTAGCACGATTATCTGCTTTATCCAAAGCTCTGTAATATTTTCCATGTTTCAATGTATGGAAATATCTATGCGCATTAACTTTTTGTATTAAGCTACACCCTTACAGCAATCCCTCACCTTTAGTGTTGAATTAAAAGATAAGAAGTCGAGTTCGTTATTACTTCTCAACCAGGGATAAGTTTTCGAGTATTCTTAAAATACTTAAACTTCTTAAAATACTTAAACATGGTTATAAAAACTAGACAGCTTTCACATCAACTTTATAGTAGCCTAGTTATTATTTAAAATAATAATCAACCACAATGATGTTGAGATGTTTGCAAAACTCCGGATCGCAGGTGCCTGCGGTGGTGAAGGAAGGCGCTGTTACCCTTTCTCGGGGCCAACGCGTTCACCCCCATACCATGCGGCCCCATCGTTTCGCTTGTATCTCAACTGATTTTTTATCTATTAGTGCCATCAGCAATCATCCAGAGAGACAGGCGAAACGAAGGAGCAGCATGGTGGTGTTATGGTGAGCGCATTAGCCCCCGTAAACGGTAATAGCGCGTTCGTTCCCACCCCAGACGCCTTCGGTCTGGCGTTTTGCAAATATCTTGTCATCATTGTAGTTGTATTTCTCATTATACCCTGTCGTGACAAAATTATGGTAGACACCAAATAAAAAGTTAGCATTGCAATCAATGTTGCTGATCTTCAAATTGTGCACTTGTTCAATGAATTAAACTGAAGTTCAAGCACTCACTCTATTATTTTCAGTCAAACCTCACATTTTTCATTCTTTCGATCAATATCGACTATATCGATGGCACCGTTATTCCCTTTAATCGATTTACACGAAAGTTTTAGAAACGACCTCGTGTCCAACGCTACTTTTCATGATCTCGTTTCCAACGTGTTAGTGGAATTTTTTAGTCGATGAAACATTATTGTTGTACGGTTTTTTTTAATGAATAAAAAACCCTGGACCCAGAAATTTATTCGCCATTGACGCATCCAAAAGAGTAACGTTAAGGATGTGGTGCTACAGTAACGGCTTACCTTGACGAAGGTCACCCAATTGCTCGGCGTCCTTTTTCAGTACCAATTTCTCTCCGCCACTCAACGCGTCCAACGGTATCGCCTCTTCGCCTTCACCTGAACATCAGTGCGATTAGAAGTTGCCCAAAGTGAAGTGATAGGAATTATGGGTTGAATAGTTTTTCACTACTACGAATGGAAACTTGTGGAAAATAAAGGACAGACACACTAAGCGGCACTGTTTCGTAGATTTTCAGTAGAATGCACTAAATTTGCTCTTATACTATTTTCTTCCTTCTTTCACGTTCATTACTATTTTCAGACTTCTTAGAACGAATTGAAAGGCATTATGAGGCCTATTAGCATTTAATACGTCGGCACATTCAGGACACCCGTTAAAGGTACCCTCTAATGTATATGCTAATAAGTAAACGGTCGTTGGTTTGATCCCAAGGCCAAGAAAACTAAGCCCTCCATCCCTACGGAGTCAGTAAATTGCATCAGAATAGCCTGGAGGACACAAACACATATAGGTCTAATATATCGGTGAGCCAAAGAAAGCCATCATAAAAACCAAATATAATTTGCCGTTTTCTTGATGAGCGAACACAAGGTTGTTAACAACAGGATTTATTCAGCACTAGCCGACGTTTTCCCGGTTTCGCCTTTCTTCCTTTCCTTTCTTAATATTTTATTTCCTGCCTACTATAATTTTTCACGGCAGGATATGATGTGAATTACAATCACAATGATACTGAGATACGTGGTGCAGTGTGTAATGCGCAAACCCCCGAAAAGAGAAATCGTGGTTGGTTCGAGGTTCAAGTTTTGCGAATATCTCAGCATCGCTTTGGTTGTAGTACAATAACGCTTGTAAGTCATATATGGCTCATATTTTCGTAAAAGACTAGACTAGACTTTACTAACGAGGCACTGCTAAGAGCATCAATAAGACACCAACTATTCATCTCCTTGAAATTTTGAAATACAACACCAGTAAACATTTTTCGTTCGATAGCCATAAATTTCACACACTTACAGACTAGAAGAATGAAATAACGCCATTACAACAAACTTTTAGTAAAGGACCGACGCACTATGAATACGTCTGTCAACTTTCCGAATGAATTCATTAAAGAAAGAACCACTTCACGGCATTTGTTCGGACCTCCTACTGTAGTAAACCTATATTCCCGTTAAACCCATTACGATTCCCGAATGTTGAAAGCGTTGTAAAGTAGGGTAAATTGGAACTTTTGATTAACGCTAGATGGGAAGATAATGGAACATGTTGTACTTGCCGTGTTCGCGTCATGCGAAAAATCTTGGACCCCCGAGATCCTCGCTGTTCTCTTGCTTCATCGAAAACGTGTGCATCGACCGATTTCAGAAAAAGAACGCAGTTGATGAAAGTGGCTGTGTGGACGAAAATGGTAAAAAAGGTAAAAAGGTCAAATGAGAGGAAAATAGTGCTTCCGAAAACTAATCGCACTTGTCGAGCTCGTGGACCTCTTTCATCGAGGAATCTCTAGCCAATTAGTTCACAAGTTTACGTGGTGTGTCCAAAGCTGAGGGAGAGAAGATCAAAAGCGGATTAACAGTGACCTCGTTCTTCCTTGAGAGATGGATCCTGAGATTAACTTCCCGTATCCGACTTGACACATACCTTCTCTATTTAAGTAGACGTGCATATGCATGCACGACTAAATATGCTTCCGATTGAGAAGATTCTACAAGTCAGTCCAGCCAAAAGTGTGCACTGGCCGAGGTGAGAAGACGAGGCCACTCATCTTCGTCTGTGACATCGTAGAAGAACTCTTCAGCGGTCCATGCGGTAACAGAGGAGCGAGTGGGGTCTGGGTTGTCATCAGCACCAGTTTGGCCATGAACATCGACTCATTCGAAGAACTAACAGCACTAATAGGACTTTTGCGGTTAAAGTAGTGTGGATCAATACCGGCTATAACAATCTTAGTCGTTTGCATACAGATATAAAGCTGTGACTAAGGTGAAGTCAAAGCCTTTTATATGGACTTGGAGAAGGTCTATAGAGAAGAGTGTACATTCTTTAAGGTCATCATTGGAGATTTTGACCCTTAGATTGGACCAAGAAGAACGTTTGAAGATCGGCAAATTGGGACTCACGGATTAAAATGGAACTAGCAAGATGAGCGGCTGTTGAGTTTATCATGACGTGCAAGATCATGCATGGTAAACCACAATTCCTAAAGACCCATTTTCAACGCTAGACGTAGTGGAGAGTACCATAACGACATAGACCACACTATAGCAAATAAAGTTCTACCCGGTATGAGACTGTCGTCTCGTTCATGCATTATCCCATTTCTGGCAAAGAAGAAAAGAAGCCGCTGAATTTAAAAAACGAATTTCTAAAACCACCATAAACTGGGATTTACTGAGTTCATTAGTCGCTTGTTAGAATGATGCTATATTTAACAGTATCGACGAGGAATACGATCTGCTCATTCCAGATATCACATTAGCGCTATGAAAGCTGAGAGTTTAAAAGCTTCCAACAGACGTCTGCATTCATAAACACCCGAACTAATACGTTAAAGTTGAATTTCATATGGTATACACAACCGCTAACTCAAGTCCGAACTTGCAAAAGAATGCAGACAGGCGACAGGCGATAGAAGAGTATCTTAAAGAGAGAAGAGCGGCAGTTATGGTCTAAGCTGCAGAGGCTGGGAAAAGCATTCGCAAAGCCCACCGAAACTTCGCCAATTACAAGACGAAGATGATTGCACTCCCACGCTTGTACGGAACAGTTAAAGCTTTCCGATGGGAAATGAAAAAATCACCCATGATTACTACTTGGATCATTTCAACAATCACGTGTTCCTATCTTCGTGTGAACTAAAGTAGGATATATAACTCTAATGATGCTGAGATATTTGCAAAACTCCGGACCACAGGTGTCTGCAGTAGGCAACGAACGTGTTATTGCCCTTTGCGGGGAGTAACGCGTTCACCACCACACCATGCGCCTCCTTCGTTTCGCCTGTCTCTCAGCTAGTTCTATTGATCTTTTGCCATCAGCAATCATCCGTCAGCGATTTGGGCTCCCCAGATCAATGCCGCTGACAGGTGATTGCTGACGGCAAAAGGTCAGTAAAACTAGCTGAGTGACAGGAGAAACGAAGGACCCGCATGGTATGGTGGTGAACGCGTTACTCCCCGGAAAGGACAATAGCACGTTCGTTCGCCACTGCAAATACCTGCGGTGCGGAATTTTGCAAATATCTCAGCATCATTAGAGTTATATTTCGAAACATATACCCTGCCGTTAAAAAGAGTAGGCAGTAAATAGTAAGTTAAAATTGTAAAGTAGGATATATTTATTTATATGATCTTATAAACTGATCTTCTTAAGCTGACGCGAGGTTGGTACACGTCTTCGCTGTCGTTGCCGTTGTTTTTGATGTTATTGATCGATGATGGGACCCACAAGTAACATCACGGCTCTGAGGAAGGCGAAGTCACCGAAACGTCAGCCGTCGATCAATAACATCAAGAACAACGACAACGACAACGATGACCTGTACCAACCTCGCATCAGCTCAAGAAGATCAATTTATAAGATCACATAAATAAATATAACAACTATCTATGCCGAGGTTTATAGAAAGTCGGTCTTTCGAGTTATTAAAGTAGGATAGATGTATCGTCCTAGATGTTCTCTCTTCCGAAACCAGGCGTACTATTTCGCCGGTGAAGAATCAACCAACTGGTGCGGACAGGACAAGACCCGAATACATGAAGAGGTTTCCGTCAGTTTTCATAACACAATGGCTAGGTTTTTCACAAGTGTTATGCGTCAGAATTCAAGGTTACAACGTCTCGGTTTTGCTGGTGATATAGCTCTTATAGCTGCAAGCATTGGCCAGGCAGAATGAATGTTGGTCGACTTCGATAACGCTTGTGGGAAGACTGGCCATTCGAATGTTCAGAAAAAAGGATATGGTCGACGATGAACAGGTAACAGTTGATGAAGGTAACACATTTTATCTACAGAACAATGAAAAAAGAATAAAAGGGATAAAGTTTTCGGCGTTCATCAATTCCTGGGGGATGCGCCATGTATTCAACTTCATTAAGCATCGTTGGAGGTGATTGAATGCATATCTGGCTTTTACAATGATTCAACGTGGCCTACCGCTGTAACGAGCTAGTGCTGCTATCCTTCCAGACAAGTCTGGTACCAATTTACCGACCCCGGAGGGATGGAAGGCTTGGTGAGCCACAGGCGCGGGGAGTGAAACCATGTGTATTGAAGGGAGCCTGCGACCATTGCGCTACATGCGCTGCACCGAACAGTGTAGTATTTAATTATGGTGTTCATCAACAGTTTCCCTCTAATATGGAGAAATTGCATTAAAAATGATCAAAAATATCGAAAACTAGTAAGAGCAGGCGCTAATACTTTGACTACTAGCTAACGAAAATTTATTTAGCTTTAATTTTGCGAGGAAAAAACACCCTCAGTAGCCTATGCATATTGAAAAAGTGCACCTTGCTCGGTGTCGTCGTCATCGTCATCAACAGTAAGGTTGCTTTTTAAGATGTAGAGGCGTCGAATCAGTTCATTGAGTTGTTCATCAGACAAAACGGACAAATCTAAAACGTGATATGGCTTAGAAAACCGATTTATCGATTGGTACTGGTCAAAGTATGGAGTTACCCAACCTGGGCTTTCAGATCGCACAATTTGTTCGATGTAGTCTTCAATAACAGGATCATCGCTTGCATCTTGAGCGCTTAGTTCTGGAACGAAACTCACTAGCTTCCTTCCGCTTTGCAATCGTGAAAGTTTCAGAAAAATTCTACTTTTTCCAATGTTTCCAATTCCTATAGTGGTAGCTTACCGTACCCTTGTTGGCTCTCTCTTTAACGAATAGAAAAAAAGATTTGCCGTAGTCACTCTTTCTCAGGTTTTTGGCATTCCTCTGCAATTTCTTAGATTCCTCTTACAATTTCTTCCTTTATGAATATATTTTAACTTTTCTCACTTGTTCTAATGACCCGATAGCAACCAAACTTCCACATCTAGCGAAGCTTTCTGTGATTCCTGCCTCGGAAAATAATACCAGAGTTGTCTGAGGTGACAAAAAAAACCCTAACTAACACATTGCTTGACCTCAAATTAGTCATTTTATCGGACAACTGCTCATTTAGTCACCTATGGAGTTTACGAATGAAACATGGTATATCTTCATGGGATTGACCAACATCGGACACAATTCCGAAGATTCATCGAATTAGAGTAATCTTCTAATGCAACACATCGCCTAGAACGACCTTTGCGATGGCAGGGGCTACCTACCGCCACCCACCGTAGCATAAATATTATGGGATTCAATGTGAAGAAAGACAATTTTTTCCTTTGCTAATGAAAATTCCATTCAAGTGGAAAATGTCCACTCTGAACACGGTTAACGAAGAATACCACTTTTAAGTGCTAATGTCAATTATTGCTGTCCTACGGAAAACCGTGTTTAAAGCCATACCAGCAGTCGTAGATATCTACTCAATTGCCACCTCCCACTTATTTTATATGCCCATAATCTTTTTCGAAAGTGTCACTTTTGACAGTAATTGCTATCATTATAGTAACCACTACTTTACGTGAAAAAGAACGCAGCCAACAGTAGTGGTTAGAGGAGCCCAGGGTTACACACGTGGTCTTTCGATAGCGGTATCTAGGACTAAGTAAGGCCTCCATCTTTCCGTAACCCGAAGGTTTATGACAGGCTTGTTTGCTAGGATAAAATGTATTGACTTTACACTTCGCTGGACTTTCACAAGTCACTGCTTAGGTCACGTATGATCCGATGTTACAAACGGAATCAAATACACGGAGCAGTCCTAAAGAATTAATCAATGCCAAAAGACTTGTTCTCTACCCTTTTCTTTTCAGTGGTAAGCGACTATTTTGGCCAAAAACCTAAGAATACCTTCTGATGGCTATTTGATGGACTTCTGAAAAAATGAAGTCAGTATGTCTATAAGGATCGAAGACGGCATGAGGCGAATCAGTCATTTGAACCGGCATCTCTATGGACGAAGAGACGACGCTTTCAAGGACACGAAACGATAAGAAGGAGTGCTGCAGAGCCAAATGAAATGTTGGAATAGGCCATTTTTATATTCATAAGCATTTTTATAAATCTATGTATTTAGGGTCTAGATAAGGCTCACAGATTTTCTACAACAATAGACTAAATCTCTTAAAAAATCGGAACAATTCATTTTCAGAGCTAGTATATTTTTCACGGGTGTCGAACTGCGATGTACTGCGAGGGGATTCGTTCAGCCGGCAAGGTCTCGCAAGCCGGGAAGGAGTCCAACGTTTCATTTAGAAAGCCTAGACAAGAATAAACCAATACAAGGATCCACCACAGCCCTAGTATCAAAGTCGCATGGTGGCAAATCTCCCTCTAATCCACAAGGACTGTAAGTGCTTGTGGTGGTGACGACGACCTGGGGCAGACTTTGGACAGACTGACCTCAGGCAGAGAAGCAATAGCTAAACCAACAACACTTCGAAAAATGAGGTTACGCTGGGGTCCACAGAACTAGTGAGGATGGATCATCCAAGTATATAAGGGAGTAAGTATATTTTTCTACAAAATGGCACATCGCTTTAATTTCGTCTAATTCGTTGCTGTCGCTAGTAATTACTAAAAAAGTTAATATTCCCAAAAACATAGTGAAAATTTTTTATTTTCATGGAACTTTTCATAGAAAACGTTGACAAATTAGTTCTGAGTAGGCTATTCATCGTTACTGAAATATTACCTATGCATGCAAAATAGCATTTTTTGACTGTCTTCCCTATTACCATTGAGGAACGTTGCAGGCTTTCTTCACATTATGATATTCCATTAATAGACGTGAACAGTATAATTTCCCATTAAGAGAAAATTAAACTAATAATAAAGAAAATTTTGAAAGATGTAGACTCTGTCTTGTTCTACTTATTTGGATACTTGGAAGACCCGCCCTCACTACTTGTGCGAAGCCCAGCATAATCTCCATTTTTCGGAGTTTTATCGGTTTAACTATTGTTTCCCTGGAGATCCGAGCTTAGCCTTGTCAAAGTCTGACCCAGGTTGTCACCGCCACAAGCAGTCGCAGCCCTTGTGGATCAGAGGGAGATTTGCTACCATGCGACTAGTTTGGTACCAGGACGATGGTCGATCTTGATATTGGTATTGGTTCACTCTTAACTAGGCATCTTGACGGAAAAGTTTATCAAATTAAAGTTTTATCTCGGCTTAATTAATAAATTCGACAAGTGCCTACATAGAGAGTATGACGAATCGATTAAACAACTATGATGTATGGACTGAACAACCGTTTGCGCTCACCACCAACTCACCTTGATCAGTCAATCGATAGTACTGGGCAACAAATATGAAGAATATGTAACGTAGAAAACCAATGTCTTACCACTGATATCGATTTTAGGGGCCGGATCATGGATTTGATCGAGAATGCTCTGTATTTCGTTTTCTGGTAGTATGACGATGTCGTCCTCTGTTGGTTCGGTATCGTTTTCAGCGATATCGACATCTTTCTGCTCTATTGGAACAATTGTATCGATCTGATCATCATCGTCTACCACGTTACCAATCAATGGCTGGAAAAAAGAAAAGTTGATTTCAATATAATAGCAAGTAGATCGAAAACATAGGAAATAGCGGAAAAGATTTTAGTGAAAATGGTTTGGTAGTATTGATGATTGTGATGATGATGGCGGTGATGACTACGATGGAGAAGACGAGGACGATGGCTAGACGGTAACGATGGCAATGATGTTGAAGGTGATGATTGTGATGGCAACGACAACGACGGAAATTATGCTTGAGACGATGGTGAGGACAACGTTGGTGATGATAGCGATGATGACAATGATGATGAGGACGGTGAAGAAGATGAAGGCGAAGAAGCCGACGAAGACGACGATGATAATGATGGGAAACACAATGACGGTGATAATTATAATGATGGAGATGACAGAACCACGATGACAAGGACGATAATGATGACGATGATGACCATAATGCCGACGACGATGGTATGACAGCTTTGGTGATTACGATGAAGGAGAAGTTTTGCAGGAACTATGAAAGTTATCACAATGGTGGAAGGGAAACACAGAGGATCTCCTCCTCTTCGAAAATGAATAGTATACTTACAAATCAAAAATTTAAGAAGAACTGCAGAAAAACGATGAGGAGTGCGCAACGTTGAGAAACTATTTGTCATAGGAGTCGAACACTAAGACACTGAAAGAAGTTCGTTAAAAGCTTCATGTCGTCTGATCATCAAGTCAGCCGTCTTCGCTTCGAAGAGTTCTATATGTCATTTAAGTATTTTATATGAAACAAAAACTGCAGAATAAATGGCTAGCAGATTTTTCTTCTACTTCACTAACCCTCGTTCTCATGCATCGAAAGAGTACTTTACAACCACCCGATCCAAATATTTAACCCGTGACCACAAAACAACCCGAGATATGAGAAGTTTCTAGGAAATTTCACATACGACTTCATTTGCTTCGTTCACATCGACAACATCGTCAGCTGATGCAGGTGTATCTGCATCCGATATGGTAGGATCTTCGCGTAAGCCCATTTCGATCAACTGAAATCAACCCAGCCACAGTTTTTCTCTATATTTATTTTATTCTATAAAAGACGATTTTGTTTAGTTTTCGATGATTTGTTCCAATAATAAACCTGTATGAGTGCCCAGATGTTAGCCGGATTCTGGACTTGACAAAAATCCTGATCGTACTGAAGACCGTAGTACATGGAGAGCTTGAAGTATGACAGTACACATTGTGAGCGCTGGTCTTGCCATTCAAGGCCTTGATTCGCTAATCTGTAAATTAAGTTAGCCAAATTGATAAAGCAATTAACGCGCTTATCTTGGTTGTTATTTGTTACCATAACCAAAAACCGGTTAGAAGTCATCAAATGTCGCCACGCTATAATAATATTTCATCACTGTGTATATAACCACAATGGTGTTGATGTATTTACAAGGCTCCGGACGGCAGGTGTCTGCGGTGAGGATCGAACACTCTATTATCCTTACCGAGGGCGCTAACGCGATCACCACTACACCATTCGGGCTCTTCGTTTCGCCTGTCTCTCAGCTAGTTTCTTGTTGCTCAGTGCAATCAACAACCACCCGCCGACGGGATTTATTTGGGCAGTCTAAATCAGCAGTGAACTCAGCTGATGCTGTAGTTCGCCGGCGGGGCGAAACGAAGGACCGGCATGATGTGTTGGTGAACGCATTAGCCCTCTGAAAGGTTAATAGCGCTTCGTTCCCCACAGCAGACACCTGCTCCCCGGAGTTTTTCAAACATCTCAGCACCACACATATTACCTCGCCGTGGGAAATTCTAGTAGGCAGTTGACAAAAAGTTAGAACTGTGTATATATTTTTATTTGCTGCCTACCATTTTTCCTTGGCAGGGTATTTTGAGAAGTAGAAGTGTGCCGGGAAAAAATAATAGGCAATAAATGAAAAGTTAAGTTAGTTTCGACTACAGCGTCAGCTTAACTGGGTTCGGTACCTATTTGTGCTCTCTTGATCCTACTTGTTCAAACGTGATTGCTTGTAGAACCGTTAGGTGGAAAACTGGCACAGAGAAAGACAAAGCAAGGGCCCCAGTGGTGCAGAGGATAACACGTGAGCCCCTGGAAGAGGCAATCACCGGTTCGATCTGGTTTAGGCTCCAAGCTTTTCAAAAATCTTAGCATCATGGTGGTTGTATTTTAGCACTATTAGACAAGCCGCGTACAATCTCTGCCCGTGAAAATGATATTATCGGAAAACTTACTGTCGAGTTCAATCGGATAGGATATTAAATTGGAAAATTTCCTCGTACCTTGTGAGTTCTAAGCGTAGTAGTTCTAGCTGAGTGTCTTCTAAATGATCTATTACTGTAGGAGTAGGTGTGCCGATTTTGGGCGAGTAGCATTGTCCAAACACGCCATCTGCACAAATGAGGAAATCAACAAATGATCAGCACTTGAGTTATTACTCCATTTATTTTATTTCGATTTTGTTCTGTTTATTTTATTTTATTTGGCTCGTCTTCAAGTTTACTGTGCGGATCCCAGCACTTCTCACATCCAATTCGTTTCCTCGAATCCATGGCCTACGAAGGACTTTCATGAGTAGATTGCTGGCCGAGGAATTCTCCATGGTGTCTTAAGATAGCCTGTCTCGAGCGTTTCTAACTGGATTGCAGAGAGTGATTTTTTCCCAGACAAGTTCGGCATCAATCTTCCGACCTCAGAGAGATGAGAGGCTTGGTTGGCCCGGAGAAACTAGCACCATGCTCGTGGTGACGGACGTCACTGCCTCTGTACTATCCGCCCATTATTACTCCATGCAATACAGATAATGAGAAATCAGGCTCAACAGTTGGCTGACACAAAAAAGAACTCGTATTTTCATTTTTTTGTCTCTTTACAATGAGAATCTTCTTTACGCAGTGCATCTCGTACCCACAGGCCGTGAACTGGATGTTCTCAAGTGGTAAAAAGGGAGTTCTAACGTGGATCACACGCGGCGACCATTTCATTACCGAGGAACCACAGATAAAAGTTTAGTCCTTGTTTTTCGCCCCACGGACTGATTTTTCTTCCCTAACCATTCTCATATGTGTAATCGTGGAAATGCTTTCGCAGAAGCAGATCTTTTTCCTGTAAGATTAAAAATTTTCAATCGAGTCAAGTACTAAATGGATGAGAATGTGGGATCACGTCATAGCTTATCAAAAAGCTCAACGGAGACCGATAAGCTGAACACACGCAACTAAGCCTAACAAGCACAACATCGTGTTGATCGCTGTCTCGTAGTGTGATTTTTATGAGCGCATGACGCTATAGAAGCCTAAACGCGGTATTGAGACCAGTGGAAACTTTATTGATAAACGTTAAAGTCATTTGATAATGAGTGAGATTACAAGTTATATGAATCATTGGGCACACATAGCGTGGTGCTTAAACGTCATTGTCCAAACATCTAGTCCTTGGTTCGGTTCGGTCTTTTGATATCATGGCAAGCCCTTCATCGTTTCAAGGTCAGTAAATGAGTATTCAAAGGATAAAAATGCTGAATTATAACCTCTGTGATGCTTGGTAGAGTCGACGGCTCATTGCTCAATTCTAGAAAAAAAGATTAAACGCATTAGGATTTTTAAAGGTAATAGATTAAATTAGACAATTTAGGCATGGTAATTGATTCCACTTATTCTTATAAATGACAATTCCGGTTTAAATCCTCTAATCAAATCAAGAAATTAGGTAGCAAATGACGCTATTTAATCCTCTTAACTACCGTCCTCTGAGGTTTTGAAAAACCTTGGCGGCTGTTCCTTCGGGATAAGATGTCAACTCTAGCGTTATGTAAGGGAAAAACGTCTCCTGTTTAAAAGCTCCATTTCTGCCAGAACGACGATCATTCTGGCTTATAATGAGCTAGACTCTCGTATTCTGTTCACTTTCGCATGAAATTCAAAATTTTGGAAAAAAAGATAAGGGCCTTCTTGTACACCGTGGTCTACTGGTTGTTTCCTCTTAAAACTAAGAGATGTTGACCTGGTCGAATTAGCCACCGCCTGGCACTACGATACCTCAAACTACACTATCTTCCTTTCTCGAAAATCCCACAGTATCTGCTATGCTTTTCAGTGTGATCTGTTGTTTTTGGCTTTTTATTAACAGGGAAAAGCCAAATGATTGTTCAATGGAATGTTGGCCGGCTTTCATTTAGAGAATTTCCTTAAGCCCTCATTCAATCAGCCAACAGACAAACTCAAAGTGCATTTCATTTAAGCGTTAAGAGTCATCAAAAACAATTTTAAACGCCTTTATGTGGTTTCCGTCCATATGCTGTAAGCATTCGACAAAGTGCATATTAACGTTTGTTTACTACAGCCGCTTTCTGCCAGAACGGATTGATTCAACGGCAGCGGCTTCGGCTTTTTGGTTCAACCACTAACGATGATAGATGTTATTTTTCAAATAATCGAACCCTTCTCCCTCATCAATAGCGCATTGCGTCTCTTCGTTGGTGGGAGGTGTTCCTGCGTTTCAAAAATGTGCAGTAATAGAATAAAGGCGTCGATCAATCCTCGAGAGATGCGCCATGCACCCGAGCCCGAGGCATCGTTAAAGGTGATTTAATGCGTATCTGGTCTATACAATGACTCATGGTGGTCTAGCGATGTATCAAGTCAGTGCTGCTATCCTCCAGACAAGCATGGCGTCAATTTGACGATCCCAGAGATCTGGAAGACTGGTGAGCTGAACCAACAATCACGTGTGTATTGAGGGACAACGCATGCAAGCACTGCTCTATGCGCGCCGTACAGAAAAAACCATTCTATCAGCAAACTTACGAGATTTGCGAAATAGCTCGACATATTCGTTAGGCAGCTTGCTAAGCTAATAGCAAACACTGAAGGAAATTACCGATGAAATCAACTAAAGGTAAACGCAAAGTGACAAACGTTCTTACATTTCAACAATGGGTGGCGATTTCCCATGATGAAGGCATGAGAACGCCATGGCGCATTTCCTCGTAACCCCAGGGAAAAATTTTCCCAAATCAGTGACATGCCAATTAGATAGAAATCCTGTTCCCGAGGGATTATGTGTGAATATTGGCCAAGCTAACAGCAGTTATATAAGCGCGAAGAAAAAAAACTTGTTCCAAGTAACTTCAACGTTCAGAACTAAGAAGATGATGCGTTTTCACTAAATCATATAGTGAGCGAGCAACAACGTAAGCATTCAGTGGTATCGATTTTTAGGATTATCGAGAAACCACTGTGGTCTATAGGCTAGTTCTTGCTTAGAGTTGTAATCCATCAAGTTTTACTAACCCCTTCAAACTTTCCTATGCCAAATTACTAGGGAAGCCTAAGAATAATTTTTGAAAAATTTCCTAGCTAATATCCTCGTGCTGACTAAGAAAGTATGAAAATCTAACAGATACCGTATGAAGACACCGCAATCAAAGTTAATTTAATCGATTTATCGATCGAGAATACAAGTGAACGCAAAAATGTTGGCGCGTCAATTGCTGCTAGAATGGAAATATCAAGAGGAAACAATTTCTTTCAGTAATCTGTTATAACTAGCCGATTACTACAGAGTAATTTAGTAAATTATCAAATAACACTGCATTGGAATATTGAGGTATTTTAGGGAAATCAATACTCTCGACTATCACTGGTACTTAACCCTCGAACTGTCGATTGACCAAACATTGATTAGCAACTCTTGATTCGATCTGCACTTTACAATTGCTTACAATATGCAAACAGACCCACCTTGAAAACAGTACTCGTCGCCTTCACATAGCGCATCGGTGAGAGTGCAACCTAAAAAATCTATCGATTTATTGATTATTATCGTTTCGATCAATCAGTTACCATTTGAAACCACCGAAAAAAGCTTTCTTTCTCACTTTATTACCGTTTTTTACGATAAATAAAACCTTTGTAAAAGTTATACCTATAGGTTAGGTAAATACCTCCAACGGCTTTAGCTTCGAGGAAAACCCACGTTTGCCCGGCTAGTTTCATTTTATTCAAAAGTAGTTGTTTCTTTTAGAATAAACTTCTTTGAAAAAGAGTGCACGATTTTGGAAGTCTTTATTATCTGCATCTCATGGAATTTGTCCTCCCAACGGTTTACCGCCTCATCGTGGCTGAGAGGTGTTCCTGGGTGTCGGACTGCGTTGTACAGCGGGGATTCGTCTCCTGGCAGGGTCTCTCAAGCTGAGAAGAAGTCCGGCGTTTCTATCAGGAAGCCTAGCTAAGTGTAAACAAACACCAGAATTCACCACCGTCCTGGTATCAAAGCCTCATGGTGGTAAATCTCCCTATGATCCACAAAGGCCCCTGGTAGTGAAGACCTGGGGCAAACTTTGACCAGGCTGACCTCGGGATTCCAGGAAACCACATTGGCTTAACCAGCAAATTTCCGTAAGATGGCCATTATGCTGGGGTCCGCACAAAATTTGTACATTATCATTCTTCTTTAGTTTTGAAACTTCTCAAAAAAATTGTCCCAATGATTAGTTAATTCCGGACCTTCCGAGAGGACTGCGAAATACATGAAATACATTTCGAAGAAACATTAATTGCACAGATTATGAGCTTTTATCAAATCTAACATAAGCAATGCAAGTTAATACATGGACTAGAATACAACCAGGATGATGTTGATACATTTGCAAAACTCTGAACCGCAGATGATTATTGTTTCAGTGGGCAACAAACGCACTATTATCCTTTCCGGGTGAATTGAAATACAAAATTGTTTCGGTGTTTTCACTGATCATTCGCAGTCTCTAAGATTTCTATTACCAAACGATATAAAATGAAAAATGGATAGCAAAATATTTCTAGGAGCCATTTAGTGTTTTGCTCCTTCCAAACATAGATGTTACTTTTTATAATCGCCTGTTTGTTTGCAAGCTAAGAAAGAGAAAGCGATAGCGCCCACTTGTCAGGAAACGCTTACGGGTTTCATAGCTTTGACAGGACTATCTTGTAATAAAGTTGTGCGAAAAAATTCCGAAAAACACTCAGTAATAAGTTTTAAAATTTTATCGAACGAGGAAATTTTTGAATTGTAATGAGACTTTTAGCAGTTCCTGGATTATTACGCTATCGATTACAGAAGGTGTAATATAAAAAATACGTATTGATTGCGGTACGTGCGATATAGTAAATACTTGTGGTATGATCAGAATGATTTTTTCCCATTATTTCTAGAATTTTTACTTCTAATTATTATTTTGATGTGATTTTTTAAGGTCTGAAGTTTTTATCGTCTTACAGGACAATTAAAAGCTCCATAGAAAGAAGAAAAAAGACATTTTCGCAAGTTAAGAAATGAGAGAGTATGCGGCAATTGATGGGAAATTCTTAAAATAAATGCTATCGTGCTCGACTTATGCGTGATGCAAAGCTGAGTTTAAAATTTTGCACTCTATCCTCATTAACAATTCTGCGAGTGGGCCCTTTCAAGGAAGCAACCTCGGTTCGACCAACATCACTATCGCCAGGGACAGCGGCAGCGGAGAGAAGCTGGCTCATCTGCGATTCTCGTTTAGCCGTTACTCGTTGCTTTTTCAACGATGACAAGAAAAGGATTTATTCATTGCTATCGTCCGTAAAATGAGTACTTAGAAGGCGGTAAGTTAGTCGACGAAAAATCGTCCACAGAGCAGAACTAATGAACTACCAGTAAACGAAGGCAATTTTGGAGATTAGCCATGAAACAACCCAAACAATAACAGAAATAAAATCTTTCTTTCAGTAACAAAATGCCGCTTTACCAACACTGTGGCAAAGTGGCATGTGGATTGTGGCAAAGTATGTTAAGTTTCGTAGAGTTCCTGTACACCGTGTGCATTGGGTTCCCTCAAGATTTGTTCAAAAACTTCTTGCTCTTGTGTAAAATAAGAAACTTAAAATACATTGTTTTAGACAAGAAATGCTTTGACGAAATGACTTGCTTAACGAAAAGAAATGCAACGGAGGAGTGTTAGAAGTTTGAAAGGGTGTAGAAAATAGTGAATACTTCTCAATACTTTAACAACACATAAGATTTGGATGGTATCATCAATAGTACTAAAGAGTTTTCCCGGTAGCTAAGAAGTTCGATCGCATTGCTACACAAGCTCTATGCGAGCTCGTCTTATCCTTAATCAATCCCATAAGAACATCAGCAATGGTATGCGAATATTAACATTATGAATGAAGGTCAGGAAAACAATTCTTCCGATGCTCGGACTCCAAACCATGCAGTTTAGAAAACAATAGGATTCCCACGACTCTGTACCATGACATGGAGTCGATAATGGAAAGCTTCTATTCCAACACATTAACCTCCATAATGCGTACCTTTTTTACTATAAAATCTCTTTTTTATCTTGGGGATGAACTACTTTGAATTTGTTTCTCCGAAAATGGACTTACGATCAATAACACACTAGTGGCGCTATTTCAATATCAAGCAATATCTTTAGTTGATTTCACTCGACTTAGAAGCCAATTACACGGTGTTTACGAAGAATCTCCTCCTGAGCATGTTAGGAATACAGGATGAAGGGCTTTCATTCAAGTACTGCTTTTCGATAGAGAATTTCTGCATAGATTACGATCAAATCATAGTTGAGATCTTGCAACACAGGCCAAAGTATCATCTTTTTCCTGACTGAACCTCTATCGGCTGTTAGAAAGATTTGATATCGTTAGCCAATTGCAAAAAGCTTAGCCTCTCTCTTTATTGGAATTCGTTTGAAAGCTGTAGCAAAAACACTGCTATTTGTCGTCGTTTTACGCTACAATCAACATTACATCTTTGAAAGATATACAACTATGAGGATCGGCCACGAACCCAACCCATTTGAGCACCGTAGAGGTGACTGAGTACAAATTCTCTTTATACAGTGGCTTGTGCTATCGACGTCTACCACATCATCGTTTTCGTCTTCGCAGAAAAGTCTGGTTTCAGTTTGCCGTCCCCAAAGAGATGGAAGGCATGGTGAGCTCGGCAGGGGGCTCGATCCAAAGACCATGTGTGTGTTGCAAAACAGCTCTAACCACTGGGGCTACACGCGCCAATTAGATAATGTAATGGGGAAAAGGTACATGTGTGTTGGGAAACGTTCATAAATTATGCAACGTAACATATGAAAGTTTTCCTGTAGTATTATTCTGTAGAGGAACTTTTCGTTGAAGTCTTCGGGTATATAGATAGCGCCAACAGTTAGATTCACTTGAGATCCCTTTTTCTAGACACGCAAAAATCATGCCACAGAGTGCTCCGATTTGGGATAAACGATAAGCTCTATGGGCCACTAAATGCTAACAAATGCATTGCAAACTGACTAAGGAAACAAGAGGGTAGACAATACCATAGTCTAACACCTGCATCAACTGTGATTTCGTTAATTACCAGGCAGCACAGCATGGCACCAGTAAAATCTTTGTACTTCTTTATCATGACGAAAGGCTGCCCAGAAGACCCCGTCTGCTCACAGAGCACTTAGCTCCTGACGTTTTTTGCACGAAATCCTTTTTTCACTATCTTTGGTATGAGTGTAGCAATGGTGACCTCCTCTGCTATGGCGTAGTCTTACTCTTAGTTATGTCGTTGGAAGTCGAACTACCTCTTTCTCAGCTTGAAAGGCTACTGAAGAGATGAATCCATTTGCACACTGCAGACCTACGGCCAAAACATCCTCCATTTATTACGAAGCGCGAAACTATTGAGAGAGCAGAAATCTACACGCAATAAAATATTAGTGAATTTTTAGAAACATTCACTAAAATGCTGTAAAGACAAGCTGTTATTTGTATTGGCGACATAAACATTGGTGATGAAAAATGGGTTAAAGCTAAACAGCTATGTGTGAATCGGTTAAAGATATTGCTTCAGCTGCTGGAAATGCAATCGGGGAACACTTTTCACATATCTTTCTACTTAGATAGAAATAAGAAGAAAGAGTAGTAAGTAAAAAGTAGTAATAAGTAGTAAATAAGTAGAAAGATATATTCAATCAATGCCGAGGTTAATAGAAAGTCGGACTTGGGAGTTACTTTTCACATAAATTAGCCTGATTTGTCATTTCATTTTCTCATTGGTTTAGTACGGAATACTCTTCGAAAGAGAACACCTTTCCATAAAAAGTTCATGGAGTAGCTATTTTGTTTGTTTTATCCTATATAAGTCGTCTTCCACAACTACCGTGCGAATCCCAGCACTTCACACATTCCATTCAACTTTTCACATCTGTCACCTATGAAAACCTTAGAACTGTAGGTGCGTAGGTTTGGATAGTGCTTGAGGATTGCCGTCTTATTTATGAATGTCGCTAAATATCGGTTGAGTACACCGGTATGAATGGTGGACTTGTCAACACCACGGCAGGGTCAAATCAGCTCTGTGCTCATGACGAACGACGCCATTGCCGCTATGCCACCTGCTCCCAAAAGCTTATCCAAAGCTGTAGAATGCTCTCTGATCACAACGGTGAACCGTGCTTTCGTGAAATTCTTGGAAGAAAATCGATTCTTTGTTCAATATTGTCATCTTCAGCGACTGTCTGCGGTTCAACACGTTATTGATTAGGAGGTGACAGATCTTCAAGCCCGTAGTCGACCCCACACGCAAACCCGAACACCACTATAGATGATATTGTTCGTATTTTTTTTGAGCAAACGCGAGGTGTTATTGTTCTTTGTTCACGATTAAGCTGACGTTTCGGCCAATTTCGCCTTCTTCAGAGCCGCTTTCTATGAGGTCTCCACTAAGTATGTCACGTAGAGACCAACCGCACAGAAATCACGTGGAAGTATAATGTGATTATACACATTATTACATTATTATTGTGATTATTATTACATTATACTTCCACGTGATTTCTGTGCGGTTGGTCTCTACGTGACATACTTAGTGGAGACCTCATAGAAAGCGGCTCTGAAGAAGGCGAAATTGGCCGAAACGTCAGCTTAATCGTGAACAAAGAACAATAACACCTCGCGTTTGCTCAAAAAAAATACGAACA